TAGTAAAATTAAAAACTTTTATATGTAAGAAAAATTATATATTTTACTAATTATAATTAGTAAAAAATTTAAGTGTTGCATTATTTTTGATTGTCATTATATTATATAAAAAATATTTTTTTATTTAAAAAATAATTAATTGATTTTTCTATTCTTTTTATTCTTTATTTTTTTTCTTTATTTTAAATATTATTTATATATATTTATTAATATTAATTATAAATTAATTAATTTCTTTATATATTTATTAAAAATAAAAAATATTATTATAAAATATCATATAAACTATCTCTTTCTATATCATATCTTTCATGATTTAGATCTGGTCTTGAGTTTTGAAAATTATAATAAATCTAAATATAATTATATATTATATCATTTTATAATTCAAATCCAATATAAATAATTAAAAAAATTTAATTCATATAATAAAAATAATAAATACAAAACTAATGATATAATATTTTTACAAGTCTATATATCATTATTATTATAGTCAGATCTCTCTATAGTCACATCTCTTTATAATCATAGTCTGGTTATACATTGACGATCGTCCAATCAGATTGGTTAAAAATCAAAAATCAGTTGATTGATTATCAAAAAAATTTCTCTTCAAAACTGTCATTATGCCAAGTCAAGATAAAGCAGTTGATGTGCATTCTCTTTATGATACCATTCTTATTCTTGATTTTGGGTCACAATACTCGCATTTAATCACCCGTAGGATACGTGAATCTGGTGTTTACTGTGAGATGCTACCATGCACTCAAAAAATAAGTGACTTACATTTTAATCCGAAAGGCATCATTCTTTCTGGGAGTCCATATTCTGTCTATGACCAGGACGCTCCGCGCGTTGATCCTGCCGTATTTAAACTTGGCGTTCCAATACTCGGAATATGTTACGGTCTTCAGGTATAATATGTTATTTTTCATTCGAACTCGGCTTTTCTTCTTTAAATTAGTTGGTTATAATAAAAAAGAATGATTTTAATCGTAAAGTTTATAGGAAATCGCATGGAATCATAATGGATCAATTGTTCCTTGTGATTGTCGTGAATATGGACACGCTTTGTTGAGTATTTTAAAAAATCAAGATCACCTCTTAATGAATAAATTATTCGAAAATTTAGAAGGTGATATACAGGTATGTTTATTAGTTTATTATATAACCCAATGATATAATTTGGCTACTAAGAAAGCTTGCATTTCATCATTCGTATCAAAAAAAATAGGTTTGGATGAGTCATGGTGATCAATTAGACAAATTACCGGCAGATTTCAGGGTTATAGGAAAAACCTCAACTTCGCCATATGCGGCGATCGCTCACGAAGAGAAACAGATCTTTGGTATACAATTTCACCCTGAAGTCACGCATACACCTTTAGGCAAAGAAATTTTAAGAAATTTTGTTATTGGGATATGTCGGGCTCAAGCTAATTGGACGATGGTAACGTTTGTTTAATGCTGTTTGTGATTAATATTCTTTACTATAATAATCGATTAACTATAGTAATCAGCTAATAAACTTCCATTTTATTCCTATAATATAGGAATCATTTATTGATAAAGAAATTGCTCGTATACGTCAAATTGTTGGACCGAATGGACAGGTAGTTGGAGCGGTGAGTGGTGGAGTAGATAGTACAGTGGCAGCTAAATTAATGAAGGAGGCTATTGGAAATAGGTTAGTAACTAAATTAAATGAAAATATATAGTAAACATTATAATAAATCTCAAGCTTATATATAGGTTTCACGCCATTCTTGTTGACAATGGTGTCATGCGATTAAATGAATGTGAAACTGTAAAGAAACAGTTAGGAGACCATCTTGGAATAAATCTAAGAGTTGTACAAGTTTCAGATTTATTTCTTAATCGACTCAAAGGTATAACTGATCCCGAAAAGAAACGTAAAATAATTGGAAACACTTTTATCGAAGTATTTGAAGCTGAGGCCGCAAAAATTGATCAGGAAACAAAGGAAGGCAATCATGGTGAAATTCAATACCTTTTGCAAGGTACCTTGTATCCGGATGTAATTGAAAGCATCTCTTTTAAAGGCCCTAGTGCAACAATAAAGACACATCATGTAAGTAAAAAAAACCTTGGTCTTTAATTGAATTTTTTACAATAATTCTCTATCACACACAGAATGTGGGCGGTTTATTGGAAAATATGAAATTAAAACTTATTGAACCTCTTCGGGAACTATTTAAAGGTTAATTTATATGTTATTTCTATAAAATCTTGTTCTTTTATCTCAAGTCTGTCTTTAAATTTTTAGACGAAGTACGCGAGCTTGGTAAAGTCTTGGGGTTAGACGAAGAACTCATCTGGCGACATCCATTCCCTGGACCTGGCATAGCTATTAGAATTCTTGGTGAAGTCACTCCCGAGCAGGTGGCAATTGCACGAGCAGCAGATCACATTTATATTGAAGAAATTAAAAAAGCAGGCCTCTATCGAAAAATAGCACAAGCTTATGCTGCATTATTGCCAGTCAAAGCAGTCGGAGTGATGGGAGATAAACGCACATATGAACAAGTTATTGCGTTACGTGCTGTTGAGACAAGTGATTTTATGACTGCTGATTGGTATTTTTTTTTTGAATTTGAATCGCGCCCTAATGATTAGTGATTTTTCTTTTTCTCTATAATGAAATTTTTAAATTTTTTGTATAGGTACCCGTTTCCTTATGACGTCTTAAAACATATTAGTAATAGGATTATCAATGAGATTAAAGGTAAATAACTAGTATTTATTATTTAAAGATTTTGTTACATATTTCTTATTTCATCTTTATCAACAGGTGTTAACCGCGTTGTTTACGATATTTCAAGTAAACCTCCGGCTACAATAGAATGGTAAGAAATGAAATTATAATATCGTGATTGTTAATTTTTTATTAATTATTTGTTTTTCCAGGGAATAAAAACTCATTTATGAATACAGCCAAAACTTCTCTTTAACGAAGTCCACGGGCCTTCGGTAATATAAAATATTTGGATATCAGAAAAACTGATTATATATGTATATTTGTATTGAGATTTCTTCGCCATATCGTTGTAAATTGATTCGTTATAGAGAACTCTCGCTGTTAACAAAGTTTTGTAGATCACGCATTTGATGGATAAATATTGATATACTTAAAATATCTATATTTTTTGAATAATTGTGTTGAATATAGTAAATAATATTTAAAATGGAATAGATAGTAATAATATTACAAATTATTCTTTTGTAATTTATATTTATTCTTTTATATATAACTAGAATCAATTTATAATGTATTACCAGATGATAGATATTATATACATTATATAAATAATACATAAAATAATATAATTTTACTTATTATGCATAATACCAGGAAAAGTATTTATAATTCTATTAATCTTTATATTACTTTAATTACTAAGTATATATTAAAGATATTATAGTGACATCTCATTATTATCAATCTCATTAATATCGATATTTCTTTATTAGTAATATTAATCATAGAATGAAATTTTTATTATATAAATTTTCTCATAAATATTAATTTTTATATGAATTTCCTGTTAATATCATAACAATCTAATTCATATAATAATAAGATCTATTAATATTTTAAGCTTATACATATGCAAGTAATTTAAAATAATAATAGTAACTGTATTCTTAGTAATTATTTATTTTTTAACTTTAAAAATTAAGATAACTAATTATCTTCTTAATAAGATAATTTATATAAGTATTAATTTTTAATAAAATTACTCTCTCAATAAAACAAGAATAAAATATAAAAATATGTATTTATTATAAGAAAATACTAGTTAATTATTCTTAACTCAGTAATTAACTACTTCTATCAAACTTAATTATTCTTTTTAATCATTTCTTGACTTTTTATATATAATATTTTCTTGCTATACTAATTATAAATTATTTTTAATATAATATTCCACCTAATTTACTCAAGAACAAATAGAATCTTAAAAGAATTATTATAAAGAATATTTCTAAATTAAATATGAAGTAATTAGAAATTTAAATTAGCAAAATATTAAAAAAATTATAATAAAAGAAAGAAAAATCAATAATAATTAATTAGAAAATTATTAATTTAATAAAACTATAAATTAATATGACATAAATAACTAAATTAATATATGAATAGAATTAAATATAGATGATAAAATAAATTAAAAATAAAATTAAAATAAATAATATTAATTAATATTAATTTCTTATATATTTAATTTGAAAATAATTAATAACTATATTATATGCTGCAACTGTATTATATTATTATATTATTTTACTACATTACTTAAATAATTAATTATAAAATTTTTAACTTTAAAAAATTTATTTTATAAATCTTTAATTATTATTAATTATAATAACTAATTTTAAATTATTAAACTCAATATATAATTTTAAGTGATCATTATTATAGAGATTTTTCAAAACTTTTTTATCTAGATTTTTGAATTTATAAATATCTTTATTATAAGCTTCATGAATATAGAATAGTTCTTTTTATTTTTTATCAAATTTATCATGATGTTAATATTAAGTTTCTATTTATTTCATTAATATTTTTTATTCTATTTGAAAGACTATTAACTTTTGCTTCTTATTATATTATTCTTTTTATTTAAATTATTCTTCTTAAATATTATTAAGAACTAATTCTCATATAATCTCAAGTTTATTAATTAATTTGCATATTCTTTTGATAAAAGTTTCTTTAAAGATAAGATTATCAAAATCTTTTAATTTAATATTCAATAATATAATTATTTATTAACTATATATTAATTAAAAGAGCTTAAATAAAATTGTATTCTGTTTCATTATTTTGTAAGCAAATAAAATTGATAATAAATAATAATTCTAATCTTTCTTGTAGAGCTGAATATATTTTAATAGTGAAATATATAAAATTCAATTTAGTCTTTCTACTAATTTATTTATTTGGAATAGATAATTTATGTTTGATTTAATATTTTTTTAATAGTTTTTTAATTATTTTATTGATAAATATAATTTCTTTATTACTTAATATTATTATGATATAAACTTTTAATAGAACATTAGTTAATTTTATTATTAATCACTTTATATCACAATATAATTAGATAAATAATTACTTATATCTTATTGAACATTAGCTTTAGAGAATATTATTTATAGATATTTTTAGAAGATTTTGCAAATACAATAATCATAACAAAATTATCATAACAAAGTTAGCAAAACTATCATAGCAAAATTATTATAGCAAAACTAATAATGTTATCATAATAAAATCAATATTATGATATTAACTAAAGTAATATTTAGATCATAATAAAATTAGCATAAGTATCATAACAAAAGTATTATTCATATAACTTCTAAAATATATAAAAATGATATATCTTAGCTAATGAAGTTAGATAGTTAAGAAGTCAGATATTTAGCTATTTAGTTTAGTTTAAGATTTATGAGTTTAGTTCTTAATTCATATTTAAGTAAATTTTAATCTTAAGAGAATTCTAAGAAATCTCTCTTATAGAATAGATCTTGATTAAGATCTATTATTTCATCTTGTTAATAAACTGAACATTATATCTGTCTTGAAATTATATTTTGAAATTGAACTACATTCTAGCTAGTCACAACAAGAACATTATCATTATCTACCTTTAGATAAATCTTAAAATAATAGTATTTATATTCTTGTTAATAAATTCTTAAAGACTCTTCCAAATATTATTATAAGTACGTGATCACTTTTATCATATGCTTTTATAATATTAGGTTTAATACTTGCTCTCATAAAAAACTCATATTAAAAAGATAACAACTTTTTGATATCCTCTTTGTAGAAAAATAATTCTATAAGATTATCAAATTCAACTCAGATCTAGATAAAGAATCCTCTATAGATTAAATTAAAATTAGTAAAAAATCAAAAGTAACTGAAAAAATAATTTTATAACATATCAAAGTGAATCCAACTAAAGAAATTAAAATAGAAAGAGAAAGTCTTTTTGCTCAATTATTTATTGAGTTATATTTTGAAGATTATACTGAATCTAATCATCAAGTCATCTGGAAAAAGTTTTACTATTTTCATCAAGAAGTAATACATGGCAAAATCCAAATCAAGACAAGAAAAGATTTTGCAACTTTAATTGAAGAAGAAACTGATCTATTAACAAAACAAATATAAATATATCTTTATAAATTATAACAAGAAATATTTGAATTCAAAGACAAAAGAAGTAAATATTTAACAGAACAAAAATAAAGAAAGTAACAAGATATATCTGTAGAAGTATCTAATCCAAGTTAATCAAAATCAAATAAAAAATTATTAGAAATTTTACAACAGTTTGAAAAATATAATCCAGACACTCTTGAATAAATATTAGTATAATCACTACTTAATAAATATTTAGAGACATAACTAATTACTTAAGATATCTGTTACTTCAACATTTATCTTCTTAACATCACTTGAAGAAGAAGAAATAAGCAGAGATAAAAAGAATGAAATATTATCTTTATTAATTACTGATAACAGATTTAAAGATCTAATATATAGAATTGAAGTACTTGTTATAGTTCTAGAAAGATCAAAGAAAGTTAATTATGTCAAAATTATAGAATTTTATAATGATACTCAAAATCCAATTAATTAGCTTCAAGACTTTGAAAATGCTTGTATCACTAATAGTATTAGCAATGACAGAAAAATTCAAATAGTAGAAGCTTATCTGAAAGATTCAGCTATCACATGATATATTAATGAAAAGCTACAAGATTCAGAATGGTCAGAAACCTGAAGTTATAATAGTGAAACTAATCAAAATGCAAAAGAAGTTTCATTTATATATCAATTTAAAAAGTACTTTAGAAATTATGACTGATTATATGAATAGTAACAATAGTTAAAACAAAAAAAATAATTATCTAGTGAAAGTACAGAATAATATACTATAGCTATTAGAAAATTAATTAGAAGAGTAGATCTGACTAATATCTATTCAGATCACTTATGTATATCTTACTTTATAGATGGGCTCAGATCAGAAATTAAATTCTTTGTAAATCTAATCTATCTTATAATATTAGAAAAAGTAATTAATATAGCAACTGCTTATGATTCTAACTTTTAACAATATAATGCTATACCAAATGGCTTGCCTTTCTTATCAATATCACCTGTAAATACTAAAATCAACAAGTTAGCAAAGCAAATTGAAAATATCACTTTAAAGTTAGAAAAATTGACAACTGCTACTCAATTTAATAGTCATTTTAATAATAGAAATAATTCTATTAGATATAATAATTATAGAAGATTTGGTCATATTATAAATGAATACAGAAATAGAAAAAATAATAACTATAATAATAATAATAATTTTAATAATAATAATAACTTCAATAATAATAACTCAAGAAATAATATCATCTGTTATAACTATGGAGATACTAGTTATATTACTAGTAAATGCACTAGTTCAAAGAATAATAGAAATAGTTAGGATAATAATAATTGTAATAATAATAATAATAAAAGAAATAATAATAAATAATAATAATAACAAACAAAATACTTACTTGAATACTGAAGAGCATTTAAACTCTTAAATGCATCTTTAGAAGATAAGAGTGTATTCACAACTAAAAAATTTTCAATTAACAATAATCAATTCAAGAAAAAAATTAACAAACTTAACAAATATCTGTAGATACTATATATATAAATGGACTTATTAATAATCAATCTTGTAAAATAATAATTAATAGTAGTACTATAAGTAATATAGTTACTTAATAATTTTTAAAAAAGATAAATTAGAAAATTCAAAGATCTAGTATAG